CACTTCCCATATTTTCCCATATTTTCTGGGGAATGGACGATTCATTGTGTCTGTGTGTTTCTTTCCCTCCTGATAGGTGACCTGCAGAGCACAGCCAGAACTAGGAGGCCTCCCGAGGGCGGCGCACGTCCCTGCGGCCCCGGGAGGGCCGGGGAGAGGGCCAGGCAGCGACGGGACGGCGCGACGACCTGCGGAGCCTGGAGGAGGAGGAGGAGGAGGAGGAGGAGGAGGAGGAGGAGGAGGAGGAGGAGGAGGAGGAGGAGGGGGGGGAGGAGGGGGGGGGGAGGAGGAGGAGGAGGAGGGAGGGAGGAGGAGGAGGAGGAGGAGGAGGAGGAGGAGGAGGAGGAGGAGGAGGGAGGAGGAGGAGGAGGAGGAGGAGGAGGAGGAGGAGGAGAGGGAGTGAAGTGAGGAGGTGGACCCCGGCGCCTCCGAGGGGCCCACCTCGGCGCGCCCCGCGCGGAAGGGGGAGCCACCCGTCCGAGCGATGCCTGCGGGCTCGACATAGGAGGGGGGGGAAGAGTCTCCTCCGTGCAGCAGCGTGTCGTGCAGCAGACGGTGAAGTGTTGATCGGCGGAAGAAGAAAATAATGACAGAGTGTGTGCACGTGATCTTGCCTCTTCGAGCTTGAGGCTCGAGGCCCCGTTCCTCCTCTTCCTCCTCTTCCTCCTCCGCCTTCCCCTTCTCCTGCTCCGAGCGATGCCTGCGGGCTCGACATAGGAGGGGGGGGAAGAGTCTCCTCCGTGCAGCAGCGTGTCGTGCAGCAGACGGTGAAGTGTTGATCGGCGGAAGAAGAAAATAATGACAGAGTGTGTGCACGTGATCTTGCCTCTTCGAGCTTGAGGCTCGAGGCCCCGTTCCTCCTCTTCCTCCTCTTCCTCCTCCGCCTTCCCCTTCTCCTGCTCCTCCACCTCCTCATCTAAGACCGTTCCTCTGAGGTCCGCTGACGGCCCAGGGCAAACATTTTCAAGTGGCACTTCTATGGCCGGACTCAGCTACCTCACATATCGTGAATTGGTTGTTCAGTCGCTTCCGCTCTAGGCAGCTCCTGGTAGAGCAGCTTGTGGCATGCGGACGCTAGGAAAAATTCAACCTTGATTCTCCAAGGCAAAGGAAAAAATGCCAAAACGTTGCTGATGGCACCGGCAAGACTGCGCCTGTTGCAGATGCTACCAGTACCAAGCCAGACAACATCCTGCTTCGTGGCAGCGGTGGACATTCATGCCACCGAATGCAGACTGGGTGAGCCCGCTTCTGCTGGGAGAACTGCTTCCGTATTTTTCCTATACCACATATGCAGGTAGGACAATAATATTTAATTTATCTACGTAGCTAAGAGGACACTCAAACGTACCGGCACTCCTGCAACTTCTGCAAGGCCATGGTCTTGGGGACAGGCTCCTTCCTCATTCGTGGAGGAGGTGCAGTCGTGACGCGCGACGCTGCGGACAGACAGCACGAGGAACCTTCCTGTAGCGCGCCATGTGAGCGACAGAAAGAAAGGGGTCTTATTACGCGAGATGACACAGCGATCTTCCTCCGCGGCGTACGCGGGTCGCCAGCGCAGCACGCTACTTTGGCCAAGGGGGCGCGCACGCGCGGCTTTACGCGGGCAGCTTACGCGCCGGTGTCGGCGCAGGCGACCCCATTTTTTGAGTCGCTCATGTGTGCATCCGCGAACGTTCTGCGAAACCATCGCCCACGAACGCTGGTCTTTAAGTCGGGCCTGTCCCCCTACAGGGGGATTTTCGACGAAAAATCAGACAACCGTACAAATAATCAGAACATCGTCCAAGAATGGTCTGGTGACTATTTTCTGAACACGTTTGACCTTTTTGGGGTATTTCCGAGTTCCCGTCGACAGTCCCCCGGTAGGGGGGACAGGCCCGACCCGACGCGGGTCCTGCACGCGGCACAAGAAAGAGCGGCGTGCTGCGGCCGGGCGCGCGGTGCCCGGCCTCCTCCAGAGGCCCAGGAGTGGCGAGCATGCGAATGGAGGACGTCAGCTTCGACGCCCTGGGAAAATGATGGCGTGTGTGTGTGTGTGTCTTTGTTTTCTTGTTTGGTTTTCCTCTCTCTCTCTCTCTCGCTCTCACTCTCCCTGCCATCTCTCTGCCACTGTCTGTTGCTGCATCTTCGGGGGGCCGTCCATGTCCTGTCGCGCCCCCATCCGCGCCGAATCCGTGTCGAATATATGCCGGACTCGTCGAATCCGCGTCGAGCCTGCGTCGTGACGAATCCACGCCGAATCCGCATCGAGTCCACATCTGGCCCGCGTCGGGCGCCAGGAAGACACAAACTTCTGGGGCAGGCGAGGTTCCCCGAAGATGCAACGTATACTGTTCACGAGGTGCGCCATGGCACCGAACAAAGTGTCTGTTGCGCCCTCTCTCCATTCTATCCGCAAACCAACCGGGCGAGCCGCAGGACGAATAGGAAAGTCGAGCAAACGGGTGTTTTTGCAACTCTCTCCACACGTTATGTCGTAACGTCGCGCCCGCGGCGCTCGAACACTAGACAAAATCAGCGCGTGGGATCTCCGATACATCTCGTCGAAACGAACAATTTGTTTTTCGGACGTTTGCGATTAGGGCACTTTGCGAGTCGTGGAACGCGCTCGGTGAATGAAGTCGAAGTCGAATCGAGCCGGCCGCGCCGAGATGCACGACGACGCCATTCGAGCATCTGGCCGCATCAGATCGTCGGAGCATCGGAAACGCATCGGGTCGGGCTGGCCGGCATCGAGATCGAGCTGGATCGACGGGGTCCAAGCGGACTCTGGCTCGGTGCCCTGCTGGGCGCTCGCGGAGCTCGCCTGGCGGGCGCGGGCGCCACACGGCGCAACTCGGCCAAGGAAAGCGCGAGAGCAGCGGACACGCCTCTTTGAGTATCGTTAGCTCTCCCCCTCATCCTCCTCCCTTTGGTTAACATTGGCCACGTAAAAGGTCTCGCAGGCCGCTCCCAGCCCCATCGAGCCCCAGATGCCGCATGGCGGGGATGGGGACGGGGATTGGCTAAACGATACTGACTGTAAGTCGGACGTGTCCCCCTTCGGGAGAATGTTGGGAATAAAACATGCGCAACAATGACCCCAAACAAATCACAAATAGTAGAACAAATCGTCCCCATGCTGTTTCTTTATCATTTTGAATGCCGTGGGGGCTCGGCCACAAGAAACCTCGGCAAGAAACCCAACCCTGAGATCCGCGATCTGTTCAGTGAAAGTCCACATGTGTCGATCGAGGATCGTCATGATCTGCTCGGGAGCCCATCGAAATCCATGAAACCCAGGGCACCCTGGCAACATCCAACTGGTTTCTTGGCACGCGCCCCCACTGTACTCCCCCTGTAGAGGGACACGCCCGACGTGGTACCGACTCTCGAGGTGTGCCGCCGAGCACCGGCCCGCGAGCGGCGAGCGGCACCGCTGCCAGACGGGCCGAAGTGCCGCCCCGCCCGCAGACCGCTGGGTGCCGGAACCGAGGCGAGGCCGGGGCGAGACCGACAGCGGTCCAGGCTCAGTGAGGGTAGGGGAACGAATAGTGATATAAACACAAAAACTCGGAGGTCCGCGCGGATTTCTCGGATCGGCGCTGGGGCCCCCCGGCGGCGCCTCCGGCGCCGCCCCTGGCGCGCTCCGCGCGCCAGGGAGGGGGTCCAACGCCGATCCGAGAAATCCGCGCGGACCTCCGAGTTTTTATGTTTATGCCACTTTTTGTTCCCCTGAGACCGACAGCGGTCCAGGATCAGTGAAGGAGCCCTGGGACACACAAATACATACACACAAACAACAGGATTCCCAACCTTTTCCCATATTTTCTGGGTTTTCGTCTTCCCCCCCACTTCCCATAGTTTCTTATATTTCCCTGGGGATCGACGATTGATAGTGTCTGTGTGCTTTTTCCCCTCCTGAATGAGGTCCGGCCTGGTCCCCTACAAGGGGATTTTGGGCGACAGATCAAAAATAGTCCCCAAATAATACCCGAAGAATGCTCAGCAATTGTGAAAACATCGTCCCCCGAATCTATATATATATATATATATATATATATATATATATTCACGTATGGACTATTTTTGAATATTCCTCCTGTAGGGGGACAGGCCCGACTTAGGTCCAGGACAAATCGGGAATCTCCGAGATCTGTTGGTTCTGGAAGGTGGTATTTGGCGCCACGGCCCTTCCAGAGTGCTCTGGGACACTCTGAGAGCGTCCTGGAATGCTCCGGAGCGATGCAGTCCTGTCCCGGCCCCGCACGGTGAACGCATTGCGCTTTGGTTGAATTCTGGTTGACCCAAAGTGGGGGCCCAGCGACAAGGGGGTGGTGCAATAGATTTGGTGCAATTGATCTGTGGGGTTGCACTAGATTTGGGGCGTGCAATGCCTTCCGGGCCGCAAATGTACTGGTGGACTTCCGCGTGCCACAGGTCAGTTGCAGTACCGTGCAGTCCAACGCTCCGGCGCAGTGTACCTGCAAGACAATTACCCCCGATCTAGTGCACCGCCCCCCCCCTTCAGCTGGACCCTCTCTTGGGTCACGAGGATGGTCGGGTGTTGCTAGAAGTGCCCCTGGCCAGGTGCCCTCAGGATTCTCGGGGTGGTCCAGATGGCCTCCAGAGCACCCCTCACGAGGCCCTGGGGGCCCCAGGGGCTCCAAGACAGAGCGAGAAGCTGGGGGCACCTTGGGCCAGGGGCACCTCTGGCAACACTCGGGGAGACGTAAGACCCGGGTACGGGGGACTCGGAAATCCCCGACGAGGTCGTCAAAAAAATGACGAGGCCGAGCCTGCATTTTGACGAGGCCTCCCGCTGCAGACATCCCACGAAACTCCTCCTCGTCAAAATCCGAGGCGCGGTCGTCAAAAAACGATGGCGAACCCGAGTCCTGGCAAACCCGGGTCTTACGCTCCCCCGAAACACCCGAGATGGGTGCGCTGGTGGGCAGAGCTCGCGACCCCCGCTCACCACCCGAGGCTGCGGGCCCCGCCGAGACGCCGTCGGCTCAGCCGCGCGCCCTCGCCCTCGCCGCGACGGTGGCCTTGCGGAGGCAGCGCCAGGAGAAGTGCTTCTCCCGCGGCCCCGAGGCCCTCCCCCGCTCGCCCGGCTGGCAGGCGTGGCAGAAGGGGCAGAGGTCGCCGTTCCTAGGGGGAAAACGAACCTACCTCGCTTTTGACCACCCTCGCTTCCAAGAGATACCAAACGATGCCAAATTGCAGCCTGGACTGGTCAGGCCGCTTGACGAGGAGGAGCGTGGTATGGCTTGGTTTTGCCTGGAAGCGAAAGCGGGGTAGGTAATTCACGCTCTTCCTGAAGGGGCCGTTCCTGTATTTTCTGGGTTTTTTGTCCCCCCCCCCTTACCATATGTTGCCAGGTTTTCCTGGGAGTCGACGATTCGTTGTGTCTGCGTGTCTCTTTCCCTCCTTTTGAGCTCCTGCAGCCGCGCCCCGCGAAGAGGCACGGGCGGCAGCTGCCCGTCGAGCGCCGCATCGGGCACGGGGCGGGCGCGGCGCCGCCCTCCCCGGCGGGCGCTGCCGGCGGAGCCGGGGGCGGTGCCCCCGCTGCGGGCGCGGGGCCCGCCACGCTCGCCGTCGCGGGGGCCGCGCTGGAGCAGGCGTCCTGGGCCCAGGGACACACACAAAGAAGTACACACACACACAAATGACGGGATTCCCTATATTTCAGCATATCCTTTGGGTTTTCGTCTTCCCCCCCCACATCCCATATTTTCTCATACTTTCCTGGGGGTCGACGATCCATTGTGTCTGTGTGTGTTTTTCCCCTCCTGGGTCCTCCGCGATCGCGGCGCCGGATTGGTCGCGGTCCTCGGGCAGGACGTCGGAGGTCGGGCCAGGCTCCTCTGGTGTCTCCTCCTGGGTGAGGTCCTCGGCCCTCGACGTGGCAGGCGGGTCGTCCTTTCCCCTCTGCTCTCCCTCGTTCTTCGTGGCGTCCTTCTGCCTCGTCTTCTCCTTCGGAGCTTCTACGTGGGTGCTCTTGACCGGTGGCATCTGTGGCCTCTCGTTGGCCACTCTCGGGTTCGCAGGCTTGGTGCCGATCGCGTCGCAGCCCAGTACAGTGGCCTCGTCCTCCACAAGACAGTTGTTGCCAGTGAGACTCTCGTCCCGAAAAGCCTGTTTCATCGCCGAGCTCCTGACGCGGCGGGGCACACTGCGCATGGCCTCGCGCTGAGACTCCCCCTTCTCGTTGGACGCCCGAAATGGGTACGGACAAAGCATGGCTACGCTGCCCAACAACAAAACTTGTCCACAACCGACAGCGGCCGCTGTTGGCCAGGCGGCCTCCTGTTCCAGATGGACAACGACCGCGGCGACGCCGACAGCGAACCCTGTTCAGAAGGATCCAGAAATGCGGTCGGTCCGTGTGCCCATTCCTCTGCACCCATTCCGGTCGTCCCGATTCTCGAGCTGGATCCCCAGCTTGGCCAGTCCGTCCGTGCAGGCTGCCATCACCGAGCCCCACTCCGCTCGGCCCTCACCGCCCCGAGCCTCCGGCCACCGCCCCGGCGGCAGCGACAGCGCGCGCGGCAGGGCCGAGGCAGCGGGTGCCGCCGCCGCCGTCGTCTGCAGCTGCAGCCCAGGCGGGCCCGCCGACAGGGTGGCAGCCAGCTCCATCAGCTGCTGGCTCTGCCGCTGCTGCTCCCGAAACTGCATCATGATCTGCTCCATGATGGCCCTCCGCATCGGGCCGCCGGCGTCGCCCTTCGCCCAGGGGCGCCCGCCCGCGCCCGGGTGGGCTGCGGCGCCGCGCTCCCGCGCTGTCGAAGCAGCCGTGGGAGGCGAGCCCACGCTCGCAAGTGCGCTGAAGAGCGATGGCGAAACCCCATATTCAAGCGGCATCGCGAATCAGAACTTCGTTACGCACAGCAAATGTGCCCCGTGCTCTGCGTGTGCAGCTGCCCACTCTGCTCGACCGTGGATAGCCCTCCTAGCTGGAGCCGACATGCTTCAGCTCCCCTCCTCGCACCCTGGAAAAGGGAAGCACCGTCGATGCTCGATGGCACATGGAACTTCGCGGAGGGCGCGGGGCCGCCCACATACGAGGGGGAGAAAGAAGGAGAGAGAGAGAGAGAGAGAGATGGAGAGAGAGAGCGAGAGAGAGAGAGAGGGAGAGAGGGAGAGAGGGAGAGAGGAGACGAGGTAGAGAGCAAACGCAGTTCATGAGAGTATGGAAAAGTCGAGCACCAACAAAACTAGATATTAGGACGAGCGAATGTGTGTGTGTGTGGAACAGAAAGACCAAAATGCTCAAAAGAGATCCCCGGCAAGCCCGAAGTGGCCTCCTAGAGGTTCAAAAAAGGCCGCCAAGAGGATCCCAAGATGCCCCAACATTCCTCCCCAGAGGCCCCCAAGAGCCTTCCGAAGAGACCCCAAGAAGCATCCCTGAGGACTCTGGCCAAAATCAGCGTCGTCGTCGTCGCCGCTGCCGTTGTCGTCGTCATCGTCGTCGTCGTCGTCGTCGTCTCCCTTCAGGGTCGGCGGCACAGGCCGTAAGGCCTTCGCGATCACCAAGCGTCGATCACCAAGCGAACGACATATTAGAACGAGCGCGTATGTGTGTGTGTGTGTGTGAAAGAAAGAGAGGGAGAGATAATACGCGATAGAAAAAAAAGGCACGCAAACATAGGTGAGAGAAAGTTGGGAGCCGGCGGCGGAACAACAAGCGAATACACAGGGAGAGGGAGGGACGGAGAGAGCGACCGAAAGGGAGAGGGGAGACAAAGACACAGAGAGAAAGGGAGGGAGAGTGGGAGGGAGGGCGAGGGAGAGGAGGGGCGAAGTATCAGTACTCAGGCAGGCAAGATGACACCCTGGTTGCTCATGCCTCGATCTCTGGATCCACTTCCCACTCCCTCACATGCACATCCTCATCCATTCCTTCAACAACATCCATCTTGTCCTCCGCCTCAACCCCCTCCGTTTCTCATTGTTCCTCCTCTACGTAATCCCACCAGCCCTTCAGGGCGTGAGTAGTTAAGGGCGTTTCTTCTTCCAACCCTCTTCTTCCCCTTCGGGGAAGGGTTTACCCCTCTCCCTCCCCCCTTGCCCCTAGACCTGGACGGGCGGGACGGCGGGTAGTTAGAGCGTCCAAGTTGTCCTCGGCGAGAAGGTCGGCATCATTGATTGCACTAAGGTTTTGGGCCAATTTGGGCCTCCTGGGGGGGAGATGGCCCCCAAGGCTCCCATGAGTGCCCCAGGAGGCTCCAAAGAGGTCCCCAAGAGACTCCCACGAAACCCGCAAGAGACCCTAATACGCTCCTCCGAGGCACCCAACATGCACCAAGATGCCCTGGGGTCGCCAAGAGGCCCCCAAGACGACCCCAGAGGACTCCACGAAGCTCTTGAGAAATAGCCGGAGAGACTCCACATCCAAGAGGCCCCTCCTGGCGTATGACATCTCACCCAGCCCTTTACTCCACTGGATGCGCCTCCGCATCCCTGATCAGGGCAACTCGCCTGGAAGTTGTTTCCGCATGGGCTGGTGGGTCTACGCGAGGCGTCTAGACATGCCCCCTTCCTCCCTCCCTCTACCCCTCCGCCGCAGCCTCTGCCACCCTTCCCCGTCTCCGTCATCCTCCTCCTCTCCTCTGCTCCTGCCGGGGGCCTCCCAGAAGCCACCAACGCCTTCTGGGAGGGCCTCCTCGAAGACTTCCGATCCACCATCGGGTGCCGTCTGCCCTCTCAGAAAGCCGCCCTCGCCTTCCCCGTGTGGTCGCAGGGGGGAACTGAGGAGTTACACAATCTGGGGCTTCGTCATGGGGTGTTGTTTTGTTTCGGGGGGTTCTGGGCGCAGGATGTGTCTCACTACTCTTGCAATGAGTGGCGCATGCCAACCTTCAGTATTCGGTTCGACGGCGAAAAGATGCTACGCTTCGATTCGCTGTTCGGCAGCAGTGGTGCCAACGTTTTGCCTTCAACATCATCTTTTCTTCGGAGGCAACTACTGGGAGGTCTCCGTCAGGGGATTAGGGACAAATCAGCCCCATTGAGATCGTTCAGGGCTGCCTCCGCCCCTAACGCTGCTGGTATTTGTCTTGTCGACGTGGATGTTGGTCTCTGACACCGCGCAGGTCGTTCAATCTTTGGCGATCCCCGCTGACCTGTCAACGGGCGGAGATTACCGTTCTGGGCCGGCCTGGTCCAAGCCGCTTGCGGTCTTCATCCCTGATCGCCCGCGCCAGCGTGGCCGCGTCGGCGCAGAGCGAAAAAGCGAAAGTCCGACCCAGCGCCCTAGGACGTCTCGTCCTGCTTGCGGGAACGGCGTGACTCATACAATATCGGAAACACATACACCAAAGACCAACGAAGATCCAACACACCCATCACGTGTTTTGCTAAACGAATGTGCGAACGCATGACACACACGCAGCCTGAAATCTCCCGAACACCTGCCGTGCACCTGTACAGATGGAAAGGAGATGGAACGGTCGCGAAGAAGGGCAGAACGGGGGAAACAGGAAGCACGACAAGAGGCCGCGGAACAAGAATGGCGCAGCTTCTCAAAGCCTGGCCATGGCCCTGTCTGAGAGCCCTCCTTCGGGCGCAGGGGCGATACTCCCCCCTACCTGACGAAGACGCGCTGGCCCCAGGGACTCGGCCGAGATCTCCATGCGGGCAATATTTATATCCATATCCAGTGCATCTTGGACTTTCTTGAAAGGGGCGTTGCAAGGCCGAGGCGCACTGGATATGGATAAACATTGAGCCTTTTGGAAGCAGATTATAATCCATATCCAGTACGCCTCAAGTTTCTCGGGAAGAGAGCCGAAACTCCAAGACGCACTGGATGTGGATAAATACATTGCCCGCACTCCAGGTGCCCGCATCGTCAGCACACACATCTTCCTCCGAGCCTCTGGGCTCTGCGTGGCGGCTCTCCGGCTGCCGCGGCAGCCCCCCGCCCCGAGGGGCCGTGCCTCGGAGGGGAGGGCGCCAGCCCAACGCCAGGGCGCAAGGCAGAGCTCCAGACACTCTGCCGAGAGGGCAC